CAGTCTTAATACATTAAGCAGTAAACAAAACTATTCAAAACCATCTTTGATTTAGAATACTGCTACCCTTTAAACATTGAATAACTCTATTAAACTTCTACTTGCAGGCTGTTGCTCATGTAACATTATTCACTGTCATTTCTATAAAAATTTACTGAATTTCTGTATTCAAAGGTTATTTATACTCACTCCCAATTTTAATTTTATACTCACTCCCTTTAATTTTAATTCAAAGTTTTGAAGAGACAGGATATAGAAAACTATACACAATCTAAGTGTATTCTTCTTAACATTACAAAACATTTTGTAAAAGTGAACAGAAATTCATGCAAATTAAATCCAGAGTCACACTTGAAAAAAAAAAATTTAACCACATAAACAGATTTTTTCTAAGGTTTAAAACAAAAAGAAAATTTTTTTTTTTTTTAAAAAAAAAAGGAGTAAGGAGGGAAGAGAGGGAGAGAGAGGGAGATAATTATTTAGTTATATTTTGGGACATATTCCCAAATGATGCAGAATTCAGTCAAGCTATGTTTATTATGTAAATTCTGAAAACATCCTATTGTTTCCAAAAAACACAGTAGCCTCTTTTGCAGAGGACAGAAAGGATCTAGGTCTCTCAAGATGCTAAAACTGGAAATAATGAACACAGGATTTAGTATTTACTGAAGTACAGATGCACTTAGTACTGGTTTCAGTTACACAATCATCAGACTGAGATCACTGGATGGAAATGGACTCCCCTATGCTTCTTCCGCTTGCCTTTTTTTCACCCATCACTTCCCCTTTATCTAAAAAGATTGCTTTTTGAAGTAATCATCCAGCAATACAGGCTTTTCCTACAAAAACATTTTCTTTATTCCAGACAAATGTCAGTCCTTAACTGTCTTAAATGCAATAATCCAATGTAGAATTGGAAGAGAATTATGACAATTTACCAGCTGAGGATATATTGCTGAGAACACTTGCAAACCTCTTCCCAAAACAAACAAAAAAAATTTCCTAGACTGGTATTAAGTCACCGTTCTGGAAGAAGGCATTGGCATGTTAAAATCAAGGAAGCTGAAAATTTACAACAGTTGAAGAGAAGGACTAGCTATACCTATCATTTTAGGGTTAGATTACAGTTGTATTTCTACCACTTCCCTGAACAAGGCTTCAAGGAACTTACCCAACACTTAATTTCTACAGACTGGTCAGTGTTTAGAACTGAATAGTCCTTGAGAACCTCTAAGAAATCAACTTTAAAATATCAGCTTCAAGATCCAACTTATAAACCTAAAATTCAACTTTAAAAAAGAAAAAAATAGTAATCACATGATCATTAAGGTTGGACAGGACCTGTTGATCAGTTCACCTCACCATTGTTACCCACAAACTGGTAATAGTTTTCCTTCGCATAACAGTTTTTCCTTACATTTTGTTTTCTGAATCTCTCTTTTGCAATATAGACTAATTTTATCCCTTGCTTATATTTTACGTTTAATCTTCATTGCCTGTTAACTCCAGCTTGATCTCTTACAAGACATCAAGAGACACCTGTGCTCATGCATTCTCATTAAGTTATATTGATTGTGAATAACAGCTTGCAAAATATGTGTGTCAAACTACAAACTGGGGGTACAGGAACTATCATGAACACAGTTTTGACGGAAATTCTAATTGCTCCTTCACTGAACCTGAAATGAAGAACTGCTACATGAACACAAGTGTTTTGACTGAAAAATTTTAAAATTTATAAAGAATACAGAACAGAAACAAACTGGCTTTGATATAATGGGTTTTGACATTGCAGGGCATGAAATTTTCCTTTCACCTAACTAAAATAATGCTGGAAGTCATTTTTTGATGCTCACACACAGGGAGACAACACATACATACAGGTTTCTCAATAACCATGCTCTGGTTGCTACTAAAAGTCTCCTTTAAAAAAACCTTTAAAGAAATCAAGTGCTGTAATTGGCTATTACACTGCTGAATCAGAAATTTAAAAGATTTCCTTCACATCTTCAATACCATAATTACAGGTCCTAAAATATGCAAAAGGATTAGCATCTTGAAAATATAACACTTGGTCCCCTAAACATATCCTGAATTTTTTCCTGCCATGCAAAGGAGCACAGGTTTGCAACATCCTAGGGGACTTAATATTTCCTTTTAGGATACTCTTTTATGTCAAGTTTACAGTAGAATCATCGATCCAATCATATTCTCAGTCCTTAAACCAGTGTGGTTTGTTGGGGTTATTATTTAATAGAGGTTTTCAGATAATTTTCAATAAGACCACTCTCTATGTAAAGAAAGAGCTTAGTATGAATCCCTTCATAGACTTCCCCCCCGGCGCTGCACCCCACACTAAATATTGTACTGCACAAGAACATCCACATCACCTTTGGATAGCTGTCAAAGAAACCACAGACATTTCCATTCAGCTTTGGTTAAAAATATACATATATTTTTAAAAATTGAAGTATTTCTCTCAGTGATGCTGCACTTACATCACTGGTGAAGAAACAATATTGCCCTTCTTCCTCCAAAAGCTGTGCAAGAAGCCAAAACCAAGACTAGGACAGGAAATGAATACTACTGTTATTCAACCAGGTGGCAGGACAGCAACAAATTCTCTGAATCTTAATCATGAAAACTGTTTAGGCAGTTAAATGTGTCAATTTGATCAACACTTCATCCTTGGGATTACAAATCTAAGTAGTTCTTCCCACCCAAAAAAGATTTAACACAGGTGGGCGTGATAGGCAGAAGTTAGACACCTGATCAAACCAGACTCGTTTGTATCTCTGTATCCATTATATTATGCAATTCTGTCTGCCCAGATGCACCACAGATGTAATTCCCGTTTTATTTTGTGATTTCAGTTTAGTCGTAGGTCTTTTAAAAGCAGGACTTCGGCTTTTACACAGAGAAAATCCGTAAGGTAATTTCCAGTTCCAAATATTTTTGGCACAGAGCCCAGAGCCTTTGTTGCTCTGAGGTGAAACACTCTCCCCCGAAGAAAAGAAAAACAAACAGTGAGAGACCTTTACCAACAGCTACTGTTGGCTTTCCTTCGAAGTGATCCTGATTGTTCTAGCATGTCTCATTACTTCACCTCCTACTTTATTCATCCTAATGTTTAGGCACAGCAGCAGGATTATGTACTAACTACTGTAAGAACAGAAGTGAAGGATAAATTATATTTTCATATATTTCAACTTGCCAACCTGTGACCCTCAGCAAATTCAGGCCAGAAAAACAATGCTTGCAAGATTCCAACTACTGTGTATTACTTTTCTGCTAATGTTTGAGGACAAGGTGTGACTTCTGAATTTTGCTGACATACCCATCTTCAAGTTCACAAATGCTGGAACACCATTCCCAATGAATAATAAGTACAGTACTATAAAAAAAAAAAAAAAAGCTTAACAACTGATAAAAGAGATTAACAACTGCCCATGCCTGACTACAGATGCTAAGTCTCTGTCTTCTTGGGGGAGAGCATTAATGAATGAGGTAAACAATACTAGCTCCTCCATTTATGTATAAGCATTAGCTTTTGCTAAATATTTATCATTATATCATAATACCATACCAAGACAACTAAACTTTCAAATTATAATGGTAACATATCCTCACCTTCTTTCCAGCAAATAGAAAAAATTTCCAGTAAACACTGAGTATTGCCAAGAAATGGAACGTGACTATATTATTTTAATGATTTCTACAGATCTTGCATACCTTCTGCTTTCCCCTTCATTATGAACAGTAACTGCACAGCAATTGTTATCACTTCATGGGAAGCAAGTGTCCTATGGTGTAAAAAACTGAGCTAACGTTGCATCACTGCTTAGAAATTTACACAACTTACTCATTAAATGCTAGGACTGCAAGTTAATTGCTGTAAAGGTCTTGAATATTGCTGGAAGAGCTTGTTTTTTCCCCCTCTTGAAATAATACCCATCTCCCTCAAATCTCTAGTACAACCAGACAAGATGTTTCCATTCCTGATAGGAAATGCTCTCCAGGAATGAAACTAACAACTGGCTTGATCTGATGCAGCCCGGATCACTTAACATTCTGCAAAGAGATAGTGGCATTGGTCTGATTTTCCTCTGTTACTGATCTTAGACAGCTGTTGTTATCATGGCAGGTTTTATGAAAGCCTTTTTGACATTCTTCTACTAATTCCTGAGTATCAATTTTTAAGTTGACCAGTGTTAAGGGTACAGTATTAGCAAAATTAAACAATAATAATTGTTACATCTCCCACACCCCAAGCTCAGTGAAACTGACAGTTAAGTATGTGCACAGGACTACTGACAAATACAGCTTGTAAGCTTTAGATATCAGAGTTCAGTAACTATGAATGTTTCCATTATTTTGGAAACTACACAAATTGCACGTTATCGTGCATCAACCACCAAGCCACAAGTCACTAAAGCACCTAGTTTATCCAGGTATTAAAGCCAGATTGGTTTGTTCACCCCATGTACGAGACACAGGTAACACTTGTTTCCTTACTATTCGGCTTCTAAAATTAGAAAGGTAAGCCTACGTTGTCTGCACAAATTAAAGAGTAATTTGCTTCTTCAACACCTTCACATCCCTGAAGCCACTTGCTTGAAAAAGTTGCATGTAAATTACATAGCCACTTCAGCAATAATCTTGCTTTTATTAAATTTGGTGTAAATTTTACCACTGCATTTTCTATTCTGGAAACAAGGATCAGGTGAAAGCAAGTGGTGAGACAGCCCTAGTTTTTTTGCATTTTCAACCAGAGATTTAGACATTAATAGTTTCACAGTTGTACAGTTTCACCTTTTCATGTGACTTGATTTTTTTTCATAGCTTTCAATTCAGCTGATTAAAAACTAAGTCAGTTTTGAAATGTTTATACCAATTCTCGGCATTTATACTTTTGGTCCACAAACCGACTATGGGAGAAACTACTGCGTTTTAAGTATAAAGCTAAAGCAAACTCCCTGGTGACAGCACACAAGCCTTACCTGCATCATAGTGACCACATGGCAGGGATTCAAGAGGTAAATGACTGTCCTGGTGGCAAATTTGAAGCCCACCTCCAGCCCAAAGACGAGGCAAAGCAGCACCAGCAGCACATTCTTGCCCAAGCTCTCCTGTTTGGTCTGGGGCTGCTGCAGCAGGTGACCCTCCATCTCCCTGAAATGCAGCTGCCTGAGCTTCCCCAGGGACAGAAGGATCTCCACGATGCCCACGCTGAGGAAGACCAAACTCTCCAGAAGGCGCTGCTGCCCAGAGAGAAAGGCTGCGCACTCCGGCCCTCCATTGCCAGCAAAGCTGGGGTCCACACCCCCATACATCCAGTCCAGGAGATTATGGAGGCTGTAGCGAGACATGGTGGGACGGTGCCTCCCCTCCTCCCCGTCACTGTCCAGGAACAGGTAGGAGCAAGATGGAATCAGAGCCAAAATGCTCTCGGGCTGACGAAGCATGAAACGCAAGGACGACCCCTCTATACTCCCCTTCCCTCCCAAGCTCCAGGAGAAGCAAGCAGCTCAGCTCGGGCCAAGGCTAATTTTGGGCTTTTCCTTCCGACGCCGGGACGAACCCGCAAGCAGCAGCCTGCAAGAAGGGAGGAGCCACAGATGAATGGAGCCTGCGAGCCGCGGCGAAAGCCCCTCGGCACCCCTCCCTGACAGCCCCTGGTACTTGGGCACAGCTTCCCCCACTGTCTCTGCCCACCTGGATGCTCCAGATGCTGTCTGCTGACCTGGGACACCCCATCCTCTGGCTGTTGCCTCCACATCCTTCTCATTCCTGCCCCAACATCCCTCCCCAGTCCTGATCCTCATCCTCTGCTCCTGGCCTCCCCAAACCCCATCCCTGTGCTCCAGCTTCTCACAGGGTCTAG